TGTGCTCCACCATGCCCGTTGAAGGTAGTGGTTGGAGGTGTATGTTAGTAATATAGTATAACATGTTCATGCATTGTATGTTTAGTGGTACATAGGATGTACCGAGTCTCTGGTCAGTAGACAGTTTGCCTTCGGGCGTTACGGACTTCCACTGGATAGGTCTTCGTGAAGGAGTTCTAGTTGACCTGGGGTCGTGGTGTGTCATCCGTAGAGGAGCACACTAAGAAGTCTCGGGTGTATATGGATGGAGGATACCTTGGTTGATGTTCCGGGAACACTTCCTTGGTTTAGAACCCGTAGGCTATATGCTGAGGCCACTAGGCCGGATGTTACGTGGTATTGGCATCGACCATTCCAGCTTCATCGTATTTTGTTCCCTATGCTTCCCTATCTCACTAAATCCTTTGCTTTATCCCGTTTTAAATGTTGTATTATGTTATTGATATGCATCGAAGTGAGCCATTGGGCAGAGTAATCTCCAGAACCTCTGGGTTACTGAGATATATTCGTATATCTCACCCCATTTTGGGGATTTTATTTCAGGTAGCGCCAGTGGTGTGGGAGCGGCGAGCAAGAGGCTCGTAGGATGAGCTTGGACATAGGCTTGTTTTGCATTTTGTGGCCGTTGGGCCTAGGATAGACTTAGGTCATGAACAATGCATGTGATTCAGGATTATTGTTGTCGTCTTTGTTCATGATGTATTTTGTCTAAGCTTAGTCTTTTATTATCATGATTTATTTTGAAGGAAAATTGTAATAGTTGAAAAGAAGTTTGTAATTTGTAATTTGGAGACATTGTGTAATATTGATGCATGTATATGATGAAAGGGCAATAGGCCTATTCTAGGATTTGATTTATGTTTTATGTCAAAGAAATGCATGCAAAGGAATTAATGTGATTGAAATAGTTTAAGAGTTGATAATGTAATTGTTAAGTTGTAAAGTGAACTCATTGATATAAATTGGAACGCCTGGCAACTTGCAAGGATCAACGACTGTCCCCACACACTAACACGAGACTTTTCAGCGGGCTTTGTCCTCGCTCACACACTTCCCGGGAAAACTTCCCAGGAGGTCACCCATCCCAGAATTACTCCAAGCCAAACACGCTTAACTATGGAGTTTTTCCATTCCGGGCTACCGAAAAGTAGATGCATCTTGTTAGTATAAGTAGTACCAATTAATTCTTATAAGCTATTACCAACTGTACCGTCCCATACCAGCACAGTCTCTGGAATCCCTCTCTTTCGGGTGTTGATTCGATTCATTCATGTACCCCCATCCCTAGAAGCCTGCTAGGAGCTGCTCCTTGTTTGTGCCCTTTCCCACCATGCCCTTTCGCACCGGCGATCACTCCCCGCCCTCGTCAGCGCCCGAGATGTTACATAAATTGTAAAAGTTTGTAAGAGCACCAAGGCATTGCTGGTCCTTGATTTTCACCCATGTTTATTAGGTACAAATTGAGGTTAGATAACACACCTTCAAAGGAGGGATATGTTGGAAAAATAAAGGAGACTCTGGCGATATTTCTAGAAATTGGCAAAATTTGGATGAACTTTGGGAGAACATATCTCCCTCCACAAAAGTCCAATAGGTACGTGCCATACGCCATTGAAAATATTGAGATGTCAAATACCTTGTGTCAAAATTTGAGAACCAACAGAGAACCACGCAGCCCTTTAGAAGCCAGTGAGCACCGACTGCTCAAAACGCCCCTGCACATGGGGCTGTCTCTGGCAGTTTTTGGGAAATTTATTCCCACTTTGTTTTTTGGTCAAATTAGGTGCATGATATGTCAAATTGAATCTTGAGGTGCCTAGTTTCCTTTATAAAAATTTGAGAGTAATTGTTGAGTGGAGTTTCTAGAATCGTTGAGAGAGTGAAGGCTGTTTAGAGCCCTGTTCGGGGTTGGCTGGCAGATTTGTTTGTCCAACTTCAAACGGTGATAACTGAAGCAAACGAGAACTTTATGAATCGTGTGATATCTTGTTAGAAAGATAATTAAGTGTAGAATAACATACTAAAAGATGATAAGCACGCGTTATGCAGATTTTACGCAGTAATTAAAATACTGAACCATGTTCGGATAGGTAGAAAGCGTAAAAGTAAAATTTAGGCTAAGTGGGTTTATGGGAACCCCTTAGGTGACTTGAGAGGAGTGTTATATGATATCTAGGAAGTTTATATTATTATTCCACATAGATTTATCAGTTACGGTCATAACTTTTATTTATTATGCTTTTTATCGTTTTAAATGCTCGCGTAATAAAAAGGAAAAAGTTTACTCGCATTTTTATAAATGAATTGCTGTGATTGTAACTGCGCCTAATATCATAATCAATGTTAATAATACTGGCATGTAACGGGCTGTTACAGAAAGCATCAAGTTAAGTGAAATTAATTGAGAAGAAAACATCTGTTAAATGACCATATGTCTTATAGGAGCAAGTGGCTTAAGTGAAACATTATTCACTCACCGTCTTCCTCTTCTCTCTCGTCTTGGTTGATCCCTCTCTCTCCATTAGAGCTAGGTTTTCAAGTTTCTTCCTCTCTTGATTTCTTCATCCTCTCTCAACCAAATACAAAAGTGCATTACACGATTTTGATAGTAAAACCCCAGGGAATTCATTCCACTACTTGGTTTGGGCTGAAATTGAGTGTGTGAAGAGTTCCTCCCCTCTCCAATTTCATAACACTATTCACAAGGTCAAGAAAGTGGGGTTTTTTATGAGCCAAGCTTGGTGGATGATCTTTGGGCCTTGGATTGTTGATTAAAGGTAAGAAATCTCTATTGCTATAGTTCCAATTTTGATTCCCAAGTCTTGAATGTTTAAAAGCATGTTAAGGTTTAATGATTATGCCTTGTCTTTGGAGTTTTGAGTTGTGAATAGGGAAGAATATATGTTAAGAATTTGAATTGTGTATGTAGTTATGTAAATAAAAAGAAAAATCCTATGGCTCCTCTCCTATGCATGTTCGACCCTAAGGGGGAAAATAGGAGTTTGAAAAGAAAATTAAATTTTGAAAACATGTGTAGGATTTGGAATATATGTATATATGTATAAGAGAGTGTAGGAATTAAATGGTTGAAGAATTCCTTGGTTGTGAAAATGTCACTTTAAGGCCTGTGTGCTTTAATGGTGGAACCTTGGGAAATCATGAATATGTTAATGAATCTTGGATTAGATGTGTATGATAAGCTTGAACTTGATGGACTAAAGAATTGGAATCATGAAATTGGCATGGTTTCCTTTATGTGCCTCTTAGCCATTTACAAAGGAAGTATGTTTTAAGAGTGACTATTTGTGCTCGTGAGCACTAATACGGTCCAAGAACTATATGATTAGATGTTTAAACCTTTGGTTGGGTTAGGTAAAAAGAAAAATAAATAAGTTCCTTCTTTGGGCCTTATATGTGAATTTGGCTATTTTCAAAGGAGGTATGTGCTAGGAGTTACTATTTTACAAAGCGCACACACTTTTATGCGTGGAATAATATTCTAAGGTGAATGAACCTTTTCTTTGGTGAAAGAAAAAATAAAATAAGGTAGCTCTTTTGTATGGCCTTAAAATGAGTTTTGACCATTTTTAAAAGAGGTATACGTTTGGAGATACTGTTTCGCAAAGTGAGAACACTTTTATGCGTAAAATAATTTATGTATGTGTCTAAGCTTAGGTTTAGGCACTAGACAAAGAGAAATCTTATAGCTCCTTTGTAATGGGCACTCTGCCTTAAATTGGAAAAAATAGGCTTTAAGGTGCTAAGCGGAGTAATGAGTGTTCTGAAGGCCTTTTGAGACTATCCTAAGGCTAGGTAAATGTGTGTAATTATGTGGGGATTTCTTGAACAAGGAACCACCCACCCATGGTTTAATAAGGTTAAGTTAAAAGAAAATTGGTTATGACTTGTGTGTATGGCATATTATTGATAAGTAAAAGATGAAATCAATAAATGGTGTGTCTGGTTAATTACTTGTCTTTGAATCATTTTATTGATATTTGTGTGGATTCCCTATTCTAGGTGCGCCTAAGAGTCTTGCTGAGGGTCCTACATCAGAGGAGGCTAGGTAACTCGTATTTCGGGTAGGCCATTTGTACAACTTCGAGAGGGAAACTTTATGTTTAAGGGGTTTGCTCCTACTTTGTGTTCCGCCATAGTGTACGGACTATGGTCGAGTTGTATCATATGTATGAGATATATGATATAGATGCATTCATATAAAGCTATATGATGATGTGATATGACATGTTTTATGTGATACGTATGATGATTCTTGGCCATTGACTTGGTGTGCATCAACTCCATGTAGGGGAGAGACCCTTGGGAATAACATTGTACACCAAAAAGATATGAGATATTCCATGTAGAGGAGAAATCTTGGGAATAAGTGCGTTGATTTCCACTTGGAGAGAGGTCCTTGGGGAATGACTGCGTACTTCAGAGATGTTACATGAGATATGTTCAGTACAGTATGATATATGACGTATATTGTAACATCCCGCAAAATTAGAAAATCTCATACTCTTGCAATTAGGAGTGTGAAACATGCTTGAGATTCGCATTAAATTTATGTTAGAGTGGAATTAATTTAATTAGGAAAATTACTCTAATGGAAATTATTAGGAATAACCATGTATGTTTTCGGAACTTAAATCCTAGTTGAAAGTGGGTGATTAATTTTATTATGACGAATAAAAGTCTTGAATAATTTGGTACAATGTACAAAAGCTTTGGTTAATATCTTGAGTATACATGAAATATCAATTAGTGTAATATTGCACATAATAGGTGATCTACTAGGAGACTAAAATTCTTGGATCCTATGACCCTTTAACCTTATCTCTTCCTTACCCAAGAGAAATCTGCATGATTATTATTTATTGGTCAAAGGTGGCCACATGGCAATACCTATCCTTTTATTTTTATTTTCATTTTATTCCATGCACTTTGTAAAGAGGGAAATCACCTAAAGTACTTATCCTTTTGTCCAGAATCAAGTCAGCCATATGGCTATCTTACACGCCTGAGAGAGTGATAGGTGAAATCTGAATGCATGTATTTTGATTGGTCAAAAATAAAACCTCCTACACGCCTAGAAGAGGCAAGAATCAACCAAAATGCCTTGCTGCCTTGGGAACTGATTAGTAATCAGCGATGTGTTCTCCTCTTCCTCCCCTCAAAGCCGTGACTCCATGAGGAGCATACCATTCTGCCTTCCTTGATTCCAGGTACAAAGACCATCATCAACAGTAGACTAGACGTCTTCTTTTAATTCAAAAATCAAACCTAACCAACCCTTTCCTCAAGCCGTGAACCATATCAAGAAAGAATCATAGAATGCATGTTAAATTCCTTCCAAAATCTGCACCAAAAACCGTGAGCTATTGAGAGGAGAAATATCATCCAAGCTTCCTTCTTGTTCTCCTCACTGATTCGGCAATGAACCATAGCCCAGGGACTGCCACATGAAACCATCCTTCACTCTTTTCTGTTGTTCGGTTGAAGGGAAACTTCAAGGAGGTCCAGCAATGGTTGGGCTATTCCTCCCATTACATGCGGCTAAAGGCACGGTTCTTACTAGGGAAAATTGTCATCCTAAGTTCTGCACTATCCTCCATTACACGCTAGAACAAGTGAGCCTTTCCTACCTCCTTTGTTTCTGGTTTCAGCACATAAGATGTTTGAGTGAACCGTTCCTTGTCTTATTTTTGTTTTAACTCTTTGGCATGGTGAGAGGTGGTGATGATTCTCCAAAATTTGGTGACTGTTTTCTGCATCTATTTTAAGAGAAACATGGTTGCGTGGAAGAAGGTACAAACCAAACCTTAAGTCTCCTCTGTTCGGTTGTAGGTGTATTATAAGAAGATGCATTTTTGTCATTTCTCTCTTAGTGTTTTAATCGGCTGCTGCTTGTAAATTTAAGAGAATTATGTTGTGTTCATTTGTTCCCTATTCCGGCCCTTGCACTGCCATAAAACTGAATGCCCTCAAGTAAAAGTAAATTATAAATTAAACCCTTAATTGCTCCTTAATAGTTCGGCCAATACATGCAGGTTAGGAGAGTATTCTATTTGTGCCATTTTCCTTCCCTGAATCCTGCCAATTGGTACAGCCTTGGGATGTGCTGCATGTGAACCTAAAATCGAAAATTTAGGAACTTAGAAATAATCTCATTTAAATTGTTGAACTGCTTCTTGGATTGGAAAACCCTATCAGGCGTTGCATGTGTTAATATGTTTATGGGCAGCCTATGTATGGTCTTATTAGCACACTCTTCTGATTGCAAGTCTTGTTATGTTAAAATAAAAAGAGAACCCTTGGTAATGACTATAGAGCCGAATCTGCATGTATAGGTGCCTTTGGGAGCTTGTCATTTGATTATATGTGGTAGGATTAAAATTATGTAGGCAGTGAACCATGAACTCTGTTTTGAATTAAACATGGCATGTATTGAAACTATAAGGACAACTTACTAGAGGCTTTGTCCACTCACACGTAAGCCTTGCAGAAAATTTTATGTAAATGAATTTCCATTGTGCACCTTGTTTCTGGCCAAGCCGAACCTACATGTGTGGGTCCTTAGAATTCTTTTGTTACTTGCCAGTGATTGGTAAGATAAACCTAAAGGCAGAAATATACTTAGCATAGAAAGCATGAAACAAACTCTATGTTAGAAAAATTAAATTAGTGTAAAAATCATGAAAATCCTATTGAATCAAGCTTTGCATGTGTTAGAACTATTTGGATAGCTCTTGTATTACTCTCCTAAATTATGTAGAAATGTTATGTAAATGAAAAACCAGAGACACCTATTTAATGGACAAAAACCGAAACCCCAGGCATAGAGAATCAAGGCTATGTAAAGGATAATTTGTAGCACCTAAATAATGGTAAAGACAACCGAATTAAATGCTTAGGGATTTATGCTTATGTCATTTGTTAATCTTTGGCATAATTATAGTAAAATGAAAAATTAAATAACATGGGATGCATGATAAATTGATTGAAATCATAGGAGCTGAAAGCACGAAAAAATTAGTTTAAAAGTCAGAAAATGAACTTGGTTCTAGGAGCATGAATTCTGAATGGAACCTTGTGATTTGTAAATAAATAAAGTAAAGAAATTCTGTTTGGTACTTTTGATTAGGCTCTTAAAACTCAAGGATGTTTGATGGACTTGGGGCTGTTTTGATTAGAAAGCTAAAGTATCAGGTATGTGTTTGGTGGTGAGACCTACTGTGACTATTAGCTAGCGTATGGAATTTTGAACTGATGCTCACATGTGCCTGATGAATAGTATTCGATTATATGATATATGTATTCTGCCTTTGGACTTGTTATGATGGAAAATTCTGCCTATGGAAGTATTTGTTATTCGGCAGCTTGGTATTAAATATACAAGAGATATATGCTATATGATTATGATCTAGTCATGCATATGCACATCATGTTTCACCTGTTTCTGTTTGTGTGTGTGTCAAACATGTCATAGCATACAACATTATGCATGTATTCTGGAAACCGAAGTATATAATAAAAGTAAGCATACGTTTGAGCACGCATCATATAAGCATCCCTCCTGTACTAGAGTATGGGACACTTGGCTTCAGTCCGCATAGGTCGCAGTTGCAACCCTCATGAGGAGCCACTATGGGATCTCCACTGTGCTTGTTAGTACGTGCACTGCAGTGCTATGAACGTACCTTTGGCGTTATATACGCATCTTGATTAGTATTTTGGCGTTATATACGCAATATGATTAGTACTTTGGCGTTATATACACACTATGATTATATGTTAGCATCTGTCCGGAAGAATTAAATGTTGATGCGACTGTTTTGGAATTTTGTGCCTAGTCTAATATTGTTGCAGTACTGGTTTTATTGCCACACTACTGGGATTTTTCTCACCCCTTCGAGGGCTCAATTTTTATAAATTGCAGGAGGACTTAGAAGCATTTGAGGAAGTGTTTGATGACATGATTACATGACAATTCTGTTAAGTTATGTTGTTGACAACATTGCTGTTTGCTCGTTGTCTCTGTTGAGTGTATTCTGAATATTTGACCTTGATGTAGTTTCTTAAAGAATGCATGCCATGATGTATATTCTGTTTTTAAAAGAAGTGTAGCATGATGTTTATCATTCTGGTAATTTGTTTGCGAAAAGAATTGCGGTTGTAGTTAAATTCGGATTTTTGAACTGTTTTTGCGAGCACTTTGCGAGTTGTCGTTCTGGGGCTACAGACCTCCGAATGAGGTATAATTCATATGTACGTAAATTCCCAGTTGTGTACTTTCAGATTATATAAACTTTACAATGAAATTCTGAAATTCCGATTTATTATGAATTTTACAAGTGAGGAGGTTTCTGGAAAAATACAATGAATTTTCAAGTACCTTGCGAGTTCTGTTTCGTGGGGCTATTCACCTCTGATTCGCTTATAATTTATATGTACGCGAAGCCCCAGATGTCTAATTTCTATACATCAAAGAATATTTTCTTAAGCTGTTGATTTCGAATTTACATGATTTTGCAAGACAGGCTGTTTTCAAGAAAAATCAGAGTTGCGCAGCGAAAGCCTTTCCAAAAATTTACTTGCTGCTTTTATTTTGTGAAGTCAGTTTTCCAAGCAAGATTTTAATTGGTAACATCAAATTGCTTTTAGCAATACAAGAATTTTACACGTCAACGTTACGTGTCTAATCAGTTTTAGCAAACTCTTCCCTTGGATGCATACAAGGGAGGGTGCCACATACAATGTATTGTATATTATGTATCTGACTGTCATGCAAGAAGTGGGCCAGGGTATAGAGAGTTTTTTATAAACCTGGAGCTTACTGGAGATTCGTCTCTCACCCCGTTTGGGCATATGATTTCATGTACACAGTTAGCTGGAGAGCCCTCACGGGGCAAGGACATTACCCGTGACTAGAGGTGCTAGCATGAGGATATGGAGTTTTGGGTAGCCGGAGGCTACTATTTATTATAGATGTTATTTTTGAATAGCATGTATTGGTGTATTTGTGCTCTATTTATTTAGGAATCATGATATCTGATCCAAAGTTATGTATATAGCCTGTATATGTGTTGTACATGCTTTTCGCTTTTGATGCATGTACATTTTAATATTCAAGCATTATTATGTTATGAGGTATATTTTGATATGTGATTATTGCATGCTGTTAGATTTAGAGACACGGGGCCTTGTATGCATGCGTCCATGGATGGGTTTTATAGTCATGTGTGATATATATCTGATATATTATGATGCATGTGCTTATCAGGACATTATGAGAGTGAGATTATATCCCCGTTTATCCGATAAGAAAAACAGAACTCGGTCCGATTTGAGACTCCATCTAGAATGACACTTGAGGTCATATCCTGATGGTAAGTTATCTTTGACTATGCTTATTGATCACAGATGTGTTAGAGAAAGAAAGTATGTTATGAACAAGTAAAAAAAGATGTATTTGTTGCAATATATCGTGTGAATTAAAGGAAAGAAAAAGAAGGAAAAAATTAGCTCGTACTTCCGCTAATCGAGTTAAAAGATTAGGTAAGACTTTCGCTGATGCTTGTGTAAATATTATATGTATGTTAATTGAACCGGCTCGAGACAAGAATGTTACAGGGACCACGACGGAGTATGTAAGTTTTCTGTAGAAATAGTTTTCCCGTAGCACTTGCCACTTATACAGTGGTACACGACTTTATGACCAATATGTATTATGATAGTCAATCAAATGGGTCACACTTATGCCGCTACCAATCTATGAATAGTTTCTAGTTCCATATAAACTAATACAACTACGGGACAATTGTGCCAATATAATGCAGAAGAAAAGCAACATTTTGGCAGAATGCAGGTTTATTCAAATTCTGCAATTGAAGTTCAGAAAGTCAAAATCTTCAAATAACTACAAGAATACATAGCTTGAACAAACCTGCATTATTAAAGGCTCACCCAATAACAAGTCTGACACATACTTTAATTGAAGTATTAAAATATTGTGTTGGTCAACATGTCCGTATTTTAGTAATGAATCAAATTTCCAGAACTTAATACAATGTAAGAACACAATAATTGACAACAATTTATTCATTGAATTAAAACACCTTGGTTTAATCCGGTGATGGGGTAGCAAGTGGAAAGTTCTTTATATGAATTTGAAAAATGCGGAGATATATGAGTAGTACTCCAGCCTAGTTTCAATGAAATTTGTATATTATTGCATTGCAGCATCATTACAATAGATATACTAATAAAGTCTACCTACTAATTCAAATATAACTTGCTCATCGTCACAACATATTAAGGGCAGCACAATTGAAATGAAAAGAACATTTAGATTAAAATGAAGTTAAAAACAAAATTCATAATCGATCTTCTTGAGATTTGAATCAGCACCACACATGCTGTCTAGCGTTTCCAGAGATACGCTAAGGGCAAAATATGGATCCCATATCTGGTCAAAATGTAGTTTTATAGATCAGATGTTATATTAGAAGGTCCTAAACAAATACCAACACAGTGGTAATACACTCTTGAATCAAGGGACAGCCCTATATCACTTTTCCCTATATATATAGCAGAATTAAAAGAGGTATAGGAATTTGGGGAATTCACATAACCACGCATGGATTTTCACATCCTCACTTCTTATCCGCAAATAAGATATGACACACACATAAACTGTAATTTCAATAACTAAGACATGTCTCCTCCTCGAATATATTGGACTCTTTAATCATATGAAGGAACAGCCTTAGAACTGAGTACTACATAATTAAAAGTCACAACCCATGGCATACAAGGCAGAATCTTGGTTCTAAATAACATACACATCCAATTAACCAAGCATATCACAAAATCTGCAGAACTAAAAAGAATCAGGAAAAGAAAAATGACACACCAAAATCATTCTTAGAAAGCAGCGGATGCCATAACCATGTCATATACTCAAATTAAGGAAACATAATATATTGGAAATCCATGATGCAAGAGATACAATTGCACCATGTTCTTCTGTTTTTTTTTTTTTTTAACCGAAATAAACTAGCTATATAGAAAATTATATTTTGATGAGTATAATAGCCCTAACCCAATTAATTAGCAAATTACATGTAAATAAATAATTAAGCATGTTTTAGTGAGTAAAATTAAGTATAAGGCTTAATGAAATGAATCTGAGCCACTTTGGAGTTAAAAATGTACTAAGTGAAAATTAAGGAGTATAAATGGGTACTGGCGAAAGTGCCCAAAATATAAAAATAAAAATAAAAATATTCCTAGAAAAATATTCCAGACTTTTGGGTAAAGTTTGGTAATTAATGGAGTTGAATAGATAGACGAACCAATACCCGCCTAAAGTCACTTAACCTATGTTAAGTGACTAAAAGCCAAAAAGAACCCATTTTTCCCCCATCCCCCGTCGACGCCAGAAGAGAAGAAAAGAAGAAGAAGGAAAAGGAGGAGAAAGGGAGAGAGAAGAAGAGAGAGAGAAGGGAGGAAATCTTGACTGTTTTGGGTGATTCAAAAGCCTAAATCGCTTAGAATCTCGCCCTCTTTCATAATCCTAGCTTTGTTTTGAGTGGGAAACATTGTGGAGAGAGATATTGCCTCTCAAAAATTCGGCCATTTGGAGAAATTTGGGGTTTTGAGTGCTTCAACCTCCATTGAAGCTTGAGGAGCCATCAATCCTTGGTTGTGCAACCATTGGTGGTAAGATTCTACCCCTTGAACCTTATTTTCATGGAAAATTGCATGAGTTAGGGTTCAATGAATAGTGAATTGGGGTTTTGATGAAATGTTGTTAAATTAGCTATGTTCTAAGAAGAATGGAGCTTAGAGCATGTTATGGAAAATGCTAAGAATATCATTTAATCGGTGAAAATGAGCTTAGATAGCTAAATGAGTATACTTGTAAAATGGCAAAAATATGATGCTTGATATTGGATTTCTTGCATTGTTAATAAATGGTTTGGCTTGGTTGATTGATGATTGGATCCTTGTGATGTCTAGGATTGAGACATTTGGACCAACCGTGAGTGATCAACCATTGGAGCAAACTATGGAGCTTGACTAGCTCCTTGGAATTGGTAAGCTCATACTTGTGTTGTGTGTTGAATTGAGTAGTTGATGGTTGATTGTGAAATACTCTTGGATGCAATGTGTTGATTGCATTACACCATGTGTAGGTGTTGGTTTTGGAGTAAAGTATTGTTGACATTGGTGGTGAACTAAGGTTGCTGAAGCTTTGAGGTAAGCCTTCGGACCTTGGGTGTAATTCTCTTGACTGTTTCACCAAGCCCTGAAAGGGTAGAGGTTGTGATTGTGTATATAAATGCAATAAAATAGTGTAATGCTTTGTTATACGTATGTGTATGCATTTGGTGTGACATAGGATGGTGTTTCCCTATGTGGTATGTTGCATGACGATGCGTAAATCATACTTGGTAGTTAGCTGGCCAGTAGGACTATTTGCATCTGAGTTTCCTTAGGACAGCTTGAGAGCTCGAGGGATTTCTCTTGGAGATGTATTGCACTTAGCATAGATATGTATTTACTGCATTATTATTGTTATTGCTATTACACTGATATGGAACTGTGGGGTGGAGAGATGCTCCAAGGACCCCTGGTTTACTGGATATATTCGTATATCTCACCCCGTGTTGTGGGGACCCCCTTTCAGGTAAGGATGCGGCAGGAGCCACCAGTGGCAAGTGACCATATTTGGATTAGCATATGCATGAGGATCCTATATTTTGATATTATACATGTTGTTTTGTAGCTCACATGTATAGGATTGTAATTCATAGACCATTGATAGATGCATGATTTGTATATTGGAATGGACTTAGCATATGCTCATGCCTTTGGTCATCTCTTTTGTTGATGGGAGCCAAGGGAATGATCATAGTGTTTTGTAAGCTAAGTTTCATGATTTGTAATGGATATGTACTGTAAATGATGCCTACTTGAAATTCAATATATGCATGCTTGTTATGTATTGAGTTATTGAATTGGTTGGGCTGAGAATCAATTAGGTACCTTTGTTTAAATTGGGAAACGTTGAGAAAACAAAGGTTATGCTGCCCAAATTCTAGCTAAATCTCATGAGGAGAGGTTGGATGAGTGCTAGGATTGAGTTTTGGGGCATGGACAATTGGGGTTTGGAATGGGATGCATCTTCCCTTTGACATGGACTTGGAAAATGTGGGAATTGGGAGGGCGCTTAAGCGCACTGCTGCCCCTGTGAGTGCCAATGCATTCGGCCTCCTCTCGCTGGAGCGCCCAAAGTGGGGGCTTAAGCGCCCAGGATTGCGCGCTGGAGCGCCCTGGCTTGCGCTTAAGCGCCCTTCGCTGTAGGAGGATGGGAGGCTTACTGTCTCCTCGAGTTTTAGCGCCCAGAGTGGGGCTTAAGCGCCCAGGATTGCGCGCTTGAGCGCCCTGGTCCGCGCTTGAGCGCCCTTAGCCACTGAAGGAGGAGATGCTTCTGTCCCTGCGCGCTAAAAAGTCCCAATGGGAGCTTAAGCGCCCAGGATAGCGCGATTGAGCGCCCTGGTGCGCGCTTAAGCGCCCATTTACACTGAAATACGTGATGCTTGCTGCCTCCGTGCGCTTAAGCGCCCAGATGGAGGCTTTAGCGCCCGATAATGCGCGCGTGAGCGCCCGGTAGCGCGCTGAAGCGCGCGGGGCCTGTGACCAACACTCTCTTGTGTTGCTTCCGATTATCATAACTTGGGCTACAGTGCTCCGATTTGAGCGTGGTTTGAAGCCACGCGTAGCTAATGAAGAGATCTAAAATATAGTAGAAGTTGTGTAATAAATAGGAAGTAAATTAATGGTTTAAAAATGGAATAAGAACATGATGTTAAGCTTAATGTATCTGATTCCGCAAGGTAATATGGTTATGATCACGGAATTGGGTATTATAAGTTCGGTATGTTTTAAAAATGAAAAATTTATCCGAATTTTAATTGAACCCATGTGATTGTAATTGCGCTTAATATCATAATGCGATGTTAACAAACCGGTTCTAGAACGGGGTGTTACATTCTATGGTATCAAAGCAGTTTCGTAGGGAATAACTGTTAGTTATTGTTGAGTATGCTTAGTGTTTGATGCTTTATAGTTGTTTTAGTACTCTTTATGATTATTGCATTTGTGATCACTAAGTGTGGGCCTGATCAACTCACTTCTTTGTGTAACATGTGTAGTGACATGACGAGGCACCGAAACAACCCCGGACCATCAAACACCAATGCTCAGCCAGAACCTGTTTTGGCTGCTCTTGTGAGGCCTAGAAGTTGCCGTGGGGCAACGGGCGTACAGCCTGATCCCGTGGTTGAAGCTCTTGCAGCCGTTCAGAGGGAGTTGGCTGCTAGCAGGCAAGCCAATGAAAATCTAATGAAAACAAATGAAGACTCGCGGACTGTCATGGCCGCAATGATGACTGAGTTAAGGACGTTGAGGGGTCCTAGGCCCGTGAACCGACAACCCACTCCTCCTCCTCACACTGCTACGCCTTCTCCACCTCCTTCACAAGAAGAGGGTGTAGTGGGTAACAATGAAGGTGAGGGTAGTCACCATTCTGGAAGTCGTAGTCATCACACTGAGGTTCGTCAACCTCGAGTTGAGAATGTCGGTGACCATGAAGTGGAGGAAAGAAGATTGATGGCTTTCCGAAAACACAAACCACCTTCTTTTAAGGGAGGTTATGAGCCAATGGCGGCTGCAAAATGGCTCCAAGCTATGGAGAAGATATTTAGGGTGATGAGATGCCCTGACGCAATGAAGTTAATATACTCCGTGTACATGCTGGAAGAAGAAGCGGAGGATTGGTGGACTAATACCGTACAGCCCCTAGAAGCTGAAGGCCGGGAAATCACATGGCGGTTGTTCGAGACGTCATTCTTGGACAACTACTTCCCTAGAGAGGCTAGGGAACAAAAGCAGAATGAGTATAATGATCTCAAGCAAGGGTCGATGTCTATTGACCAATACTTTGCAAAATTCAATGAGTTGGTGAAATACGCCAACTATGGGCGAGCCTTACCCACTCCGGCTGAAATGACCTCCAAGTTCCAATGGGGTCTTAATGAGAAGATGTCTCGGAAGATGTCAAATTGTGACATCCGAGAGTTCAGTCGATTTGTGAATCAGCGCAGGAAGGTAGAAGAAGTGTACAAGGTGTCCCAAACCAAGAAGCCTTCTGAGGCCCAGACACCTAGTTCCAATAAAGCAACGGGCTCAGGTTATTGGAAGAACAGAAAGATGCAAGGCAAGAAGCTAAATGTGAATAGGCCCTTTGACTTGTTCAAAAAGCCCGGGACTCAGAAGAATTTTGTTGATAGAGGACCTCCTCCCAAGTGCAAGGGATGTGGCAAGGAGCATAGAGGTCCATGTGCTACCGGTGAGGTGATCTGTTTTAAATGTGGAAGATCCGGTCACTATTCCAGGCAGTGTCCTCAGAACGAAGCGAGGACTATGGCAGTTCAAGCTACTGTTGTTCTTGTCTCCGTGGTTCCACCTATGCTAGAGTCTCAGACGGTTGGTAGAGTATATACCATGGACCGTCAACAATCGGAGAAGGCTCCGAATCTAGTGAAAGGTACAATTTACATTGATAATATGGATGTTGAAGTGTTGTTTGATTCAGGAGCTACACACTCCTGTATGTCCGATTTTATGGCTGTTGGGCTAAATTTGCAAATGTACGACATTCGCCCTCCAATGAAAGTGGTTACTGCTACTGGAGAGGAGTGTTATACATCCGTATTGTGTAAAGATGTTGAGTTCAAATATGAAGGCCGAGATTACGTGCTGGATTTTATTTGTTTACCTATGATCAGCCTTCAAGTTATCTTGGGTATGGACTGGTTGTCAAAGAACTATGCTATGATAGACTGCTGCGGTAAAAGGATTGTGCTTGATGCTGATGATTCTGCTACTAGTTCTTCCCCATATCTATCTGTGTTGCAGGTTAGAAAGGTTTTGAGGGTCGGGGCATTGGGATATGTCTTTGTGGG